TTGTTTGACCGGATATAATGGGTAGGTCACTGGCTGGCTGGATGAATGGATGTTAGGGTGGGGGGTCCTAGCTGGTGCCCAGAGTGAAGGGGACATAGCAGCTGCCTGGCAAGTGCTGGGCCCTGTGAGAGGCACCGAGGCAACCCCTCACCATCCCTCCCACAGAGCGGCAACAAGATATCCCTGCGGACCACGGCCCTGGAGAATACCTCCATCAAGGTGGGCCCCGCCCGGAAGAATGTGGCCAAGGGCCGCATGGCACGCAGGAGCAAGCGGAGCCGTCGGCGGGAGACCCAGGACCGGTGCGCGGCAGTGGCCACCAGGGAGCGGTACACGGGGCACGCCCTGGGGACAGGGGTTCTTTTTTTCTTTTCTTTTTTTTTTTTTTTTTGGGGACAGAGTCTCTCTGTCGCCCAGGCTGGAGTACAGTGGTATGATCTTGGCTCACTGCAACCTCCACCTCTCGGGTTCAAGCGACTCTCCTGCCTCAGTCCCCTGAGTAGCTTACAGGTGTGAGCCACCGTGCCTGGCCAGGAGCAGGGGTTCTGAAGCCTCCGATTTTCTTACCCCAGGCGGAAGTCGCTCTTCAAGAAGATCTCCAAGCAGACCTCCGTGCTTCACACCAGCCGCAGCTTCTCCTCCGGACTCCACCACTCACTGTCATCCAGCGAGAGCCTCCCTGGCTCGCCCACCCACAGCCTCTCCCCCAGCCCCACCACTCCCTGCCGAAGCCCAGCCCCTGATGTCCCAGCAGGTGGGTACACCCCCCCACCCGCCCCCTGCCGCCCCGGCTACCCTGGGGGCAAGGGCTGGTGGGCCCCAGGAGGGAGGAAGGGGTTTGGAGGATGGAATGGGGGATGGAATGACGTGATGTAGGGAAAGATATGACCAGAAGGAACATCTTCCAGAATCCTGGTGTCTAGCAGAGAACCTGGAAGTACTCAGAGATGAGTGCAGGTGCCAGGGAAGGATGTGCCCAGCAGAGGAAACATCATGGACAAATGGGACTAGACAGGAGGGTGGGAAAACTGAGAAGAGGCTGGGCACGGAGGCTCACGCCTGTAATCCCAACACTTTGGGAGCCCGAGGCAGGAGGATCACTGAGCTCAGGGGTTTGAGACCAGCCTGGGCAACACAGGGAGACCCCATCTGTACAAAACATTAAAAAATTAGGTGAAGGTGAGGCCGGGCGCAGTAGCTCACACCTGTAATCCTAGCACTTTGGGAGGCTGAGGCAGGTGGATCACCTGAGGTCGGGAGTTCGAGACCAGCCTGGCCAACATGGAGAAACCCTGTCTCTACTAAAAATACAAAATTACCTGGGTGTGGTGGCACATGCCTGTAATCCCAGCGACTAGGGAGGCTGAGGCAGGAGAATCACTTAAACCCGGGAGGCAGAGGTTGCAGCAAGCTGAGATCGCGCCATTACGCTCCAGCCTGGGCAACAAGAGTGAAACTCCGTCTCAAAAAAAAAAGGCCAGGCGCGGTGGCTCAAGCCTATAATCCCAGCACTTTGGGAGGCCGAGACAGGCAGATCACGAGGTCAGGAGATCGAGACCATCCTGGCTAACATGGTGAAACCCGTCTCTACTAAAAAAATACAAAAAACTAGCCGGGCGAGGTGGCGGGTGCCTGTAGTCCCAGCTACTCGGGAGGCTGAGGCAGGAGAATGGCATAAACCCAGGAGGTGGAGCTTGCAGTGAGCTGAGATCCGGCC